TTAAGCCTAACATTGAGCTAATGTAGTGTATTAGGATTATGTCTTTGTTAATGGGTTTTTAAGTGGAACTGAAAGAATGTTTATCTTAGTTCAAAAGTAGCCATTTTTAGGGTGACGCCCCAGGGGAGACAGGTGATTGGACAGCAGAGGGAGCAACCCATATTTTTACATTGTTTATAAGTATATGCTGGAGGCACAGGGGGGCAGAGCGACCATTGCAATCTGAGGCGTCGCTCTCCGGGTGGGCATGACACCTGTAACTCATGCTGAAAGCTTGTGATATGAATAAACTTATGATCAAAGGTTCAGTATGAGCGGACTCCTTTGTTTATCAGCAATAACTAGCAACATTTACTCGATACTACACTAATGAATTATGGGCTAATATGCATATGCTTCTAACTTAGGTGTCACGATCGTTGACACATGATGAAGCGGACCAAGGCGCAGCGTGATAGGCGTACATACTTTTATTAGTGTACACACAACGAACCAAAACAATAAACGATACGTGAAGTCCTAGGTTAAATACACAAACCTTCCGGAACAAGATCCCACAATAAACTAGTGCCAAAAGGCTGCCTAAGTATGGTCCCCAATCAGAGACAACGAGCTACAGCTGTCTCTGATTGGGAACCACCCTGGCCAACATAGAAATACACGAACTAGAACGAAAAACATAGAAAACTAAACAAGGAAAATCCACACCCTGGCTCAACATTTAATAGTCCCCAGAGCCAGGGCGTGACAGTACCCCCCCCCAAAGGCGCGGACTGCGACCGCGCCAACCAAACACAACAGGGGAGGGGCCGGGTGGGCATTCTGCCTCGGAGGCGGATCCGGCTCCGGGCGTGACCACCACACTTTCTCTACCCCCTCGTTGCGCCCCTGGTCTGGTCTGACCCCGCTGGTCGGAGCTGGACTGAACACCGGTGGAGCGGATTGCTCTGGCTCTGGCGTGGAGCAGCTGACCGGTGCCGGACCAGGCACCGGTGGAACAGGCACGGACCGTACCAGACTGACGACGCGCACCACTGGCTTGGTGCAGGGAGCAGGAACGGGCCGGACCGACGACGCGCACCATTGGCTTGGTGCGGGTAGCAGGAACGGGCCGGTCCGGGCTGGCGACGCGCACCACTGGCTTTTTGCGGGGAGCAGGAACGGGCCGGACCGGGCTGACGACGCGCACCATTGGCTTGGTGCGGGGAGCAGGAACAGGCCGGACCGGGCTGGCGACGCGCACCACTGGCTTGGTGCGGGGAGCAGGAACGGGCCGGACCGGGCTGACGACGCGCACCATTGGCTTGGTGCGGGGAGCAGGAACAGGCCGAACCGGTCTGGCGACGCGCACCACTGGCTTGGTGCGGGGAGCAGGAACGGGCCGGGCCGGGCTGGCGATGCGCACCACAGGCTTGGTGCGAGGGGCAGGAACAGGCCAGGCCGGGCTGGCGACGCGCACCACAGGCTTGGTGCGAAGGGCAGGAACAGGCCAGGCCGGGCTGGCGACGCGCACCACTGACTTGGTGCGAGGGGCAGGAACAGGCCGGGTCGGGCTGGCGACGCGCACCACGGGCTTGGTGCGAGGGGCAGGAACAGGCCGGACCGGGCTGGCGACGCGCACCACAGTCTTGGTGCGAGGGACAGGAACAGGCCGGACCGTACTGGAAACACACACCACTGGCCTTGTGCGGGGAGCAGGAACGGGCCGGACCGGACTGGTAACACACCCCAGTACCTCTCGCCGTGCCTCTACACTCTCCTTCCCCCTCATGACCAATGGCCCCCGTAACCTGGTGGCCTCCTCTCCTAGTCCACAAACTCGCCCTGTAGCTGCCTCCAGCAGCCCCGTCGTCCATGCCGTGTGCCCCCCCCAAGAAATTTCTTGGGGTTGCCTCTCGCCTGTCCGACGACGGCACGGTTGGCGCCGTACCTCCTCTCTCGCCAGGGCTTTAACTTTTGCCCATGGCCCTTTGCCCGCGAACATGTCCTCCCAAGACCACCATTCGCCCACCTGGGACATCGCCAACTTCGCCAGTTCCTTTCCCGGTGTCTGCTCCTGAACACGCTGCTTGGTCCTTCTTTGGTGGGATCTTCTGTCACGCTGCTTGATCCAGTCGAGGTGGGATCTTCTGTCACGATCGTTGACACATGATGAAGCGGACCAAGGCGCAGCGTGATAGGCGTACATACTTTTATTGAGTACTTAGCAACAACAACAAAACAATAAACGATACGTGAAGTCCTTGGTTAAATACACAAACCTTCTGGAACAAGATCCCACAATAAACTAGTGCCAAAAGGCTGCCTAAGTATGGTCCCCAATCAGAGACAACGAGCTACAGCTGTCTCTGATTGGGAACCACCCTGGCCAACATAGAAATACACGAACTAGAACGAAAAACATAGAAAACTAAACAAGGAAAATCCACACCCTGGCTCACCATTTAATAGTCCCCAGAGCCAGGGCGTGACATTAGGCTACACATCTCGAGCAAAGATGCACTATGCAGAAATCGCTTAGCCATTTCCTGGTTGCAAAAATTCTAATAGTTTACCTACTTTCAGTTTGTGACATAACAAGCAAGTATAGCATAGAGAACCTAAACTGCTGTGAAATATATTTTCCATAACCAAACATTTTGTATTTTCAGCTGTTTGAAGCTGGTGTAAAAACTGAAAGTAAAAGCAAAAACGAAACTTAAGAACGGGAATCATTGAAATAGCGCACATAGAACAGATCTACTGCTTCTTAGTCTTGCTTTCAATGAGCATGACAGATCCATAACACACATTTCTATGTGAATTTGGTCAGTCACCCAAAAAGTTAAATATTGCAGCTTTAGATCTTGTGGAGTCCCAGGAAAAGCCAGACTACAATAGCTTGTTGGAGACTTATTTTGACATATTTTCTTTAGTAATAGCCTATTAGAGGAGAGATGCATGCTTGCTCTTGCTTGCTGAAAGTAAAATAGGCTACATATGGAGCCAATCTGAGTTCAAAAGAACTGCCCCCCCCAAAAAAATAATTATATATATATATATTTTAAGTGAAAGTGAAATAACGAATGTTGAAACTGGTTTATTAGTTATTTTTTATAGTATGTAATAATAATTAGAATTCAAAGATATTGAAAATTATTTTGAAAGCATTCAGTTGATGTTTGCACCCAATCTTAAGATTCTTTGGTCAAACTTATTTTCACTCAACTTATTTTTCCACCTTCCTTCAAGTCATCTTTTCTTTCCACCGAGTTTTGGTACTCTATTGACGTGAAGGCGGGGTTAGGGGATGGGTTTGTCCAACGAGCCACAGCCTTGAAGTGAAAGTATAATACCTATCTCTGGCATAACCCGCCCCCTGCACTCAGCGTGATGACATACTTCCATTTAAAAATAGTGCTGTTTGACCATTTCCAGCACGCATTCTTTGTTTACATTCTGTCGATTGCACATACCAGGAAGCTAGCTACCGAAAGTATTAGCTAGCTACGTAAAGATGAGTAAGCTTAGAAAATAATTATTCAAGACCACAATTTTTCAGAAACATGAGAAATATTCCAATCACTGCTGTGTCATTGGACGGAGTCTTCTAAATTCAATCAATGTGGTGATTAGTACCACAGTGATCAGAATTAACTTCACTTTGACCAACTACCTCTACACACTCCTGGGCGCAGTCTATCTGGGATTCAGCTGAGGATGTGAAAGCTAACCTCCCTGATGAATTCAAGGACGTTCCTGACACTCAGGTGTTCCTAGATTACACTCAGCTCATGTGTCGAACACCATCCTCCCTTCTCCTCCAAAGTGAGATGAATCCACATATAAATCACACTGCACCATGAAAGCAATGCTTGAAATGGTCCCCCATGGACCGGTTACAATTGTTTCCTCACTCTTTGCAGGATCAGTGAGCAACAGAGATCTTCAAGCAGTCAGGGTTGGCTGAACTCCTGACTGAAGAAAAGGCAGTCATGGTTGACAAAGGCTTCCTTTTCAGTGACTGTGTGAAGTGCAAGGTGTACTGCCCACCGTTTGTATCCAAGCAAAGCCAGATGCCAGCTGACCAGGTCACCCAGACACAGGCAATTGCAAGCCTGAGAGTACATGTGGAGCGTATGATTCGGCAAGTAAAATAAAATAAACTATTTGACACCATCATCCTGCTGTCCATTTCTGGAAATATCAACCAGCTCTTTGCAATGGCTTTCCTGCTGATGAATTACCAAAATAAAGCTCTCATCAGGGCATGGGCTCAGTAAAACTGCATGAGCTATGGAAGGCTGTGTTTATACTGGCATTTAATTAAGCTGAAAGCCAACTTCTAAATCCTCTGAATTGAATTGATTGTATGCATATATGATTCATACAAACATGATTCTGTTTTAATAATTCTGAATGAAAATTATTCTAGTAAAAGCACCTTGATTGAATTACTGTTATTGTTTTGAACAGATTGGTATATTAGTAATTAATAGACAAATTAACTGAGTAGTAATCCAAAGAAGTCATGCTCTGTAGTGACCCCCACACTCCCAAAACATGTCTACAGTACCCCTAGCCTTACTATTAGTTACATAAATAAATACAACTCTGAAACACAGTATATCAATGTATTTAATGAATGGAAAACAAATATTCACAGTAAAAACTTGAACAGATCATCACAATGTTTTTTATTTTAATCTCAGTTTTAAGTTTTATGCCTGGATAATACCTTCCAGAGATGACAGAGTCCGGCAAAGCTCTCTTGGGTCGGAGGTGTGTGTTTCTTTTGGACGCTGCTTTTGCAGCCTACTACACCTCCACAGACACGTACTTTGGCATATAGACATTCAAGTAGAAGGAATCTGCTTTCTCTCGTATGACTCCTTGGACTTCTGGATCTGAATACACACCGCTGCACTAGGAAATCTTCTTGAGCCAGTTACAAGATGTTGCCCTTGCACCTGCCAGTAATGGGCGTGACTCTTGCGCAGCTTTGAAGTGCCAAATACCATTTACAAATATTTGCAATCAACATAGTTCTTCACGTTGGGGCACTTGATTTCTACCAACCCAAAAGGTGGATGTTCTGTGGGATCGAAAACAAGCCCATCGGGGGGAGGCACCAAGTCAAAGGGCATCGGGGTGGATAACTAGTCCACAGGGTGAGTAGTTTACTTTCATAATCCTTGAGTATTCCATTGCTGTCCCAAACTCAATCTCTGCGCCCCTCTTCATCTCTGCCGTCTATTTGGTGCCCCTGATGATGGGCTCAGCAAGAGACTGTGGAGCTCGGCCCCCTCACGTGGCACACTTATCCATACTGATGGATACTTGCAGGCTTTGCAAGTGAAAGTACTCCTCCTCAGTACACACCAACACACACTCCGTTTGGGAAAGTCAGTAGTCTTCAAGAGGTAGGAGTGGACAGGGTGAATCATCGTATTGTAGTTGGATGTGCCTTGTCATCATGGGCTGCTGATAGGATAGGACACTGTCCTTCTGCAATGTCCCAAAAGCAGATTTCACTAGAAGCTTGCCATTGCTCATGCCCATGGTGGTCACCAGTGGTTTGTCCAGTGTGTCGAAGTCTCTGAATGCCTCTGCCACCTGAAACACTGATAGATCTGGCAATGGGCCAACCAGTCCTTTGTGGTGTGTACTCCTTCAAAACAAAACATATACAAACCTGAATCAATACATTTGTATAATTTGCTTCCTGCCGTCTTGGATTCCCCTATTCCTCTCCTCCCACTGAAAGCTAATATGTAAGACATAACAAATAGCACCTGATGTTACACAGCAGTAACTTAATAGCTTACTTCACTCCGCCTAATGTCATGCGATTTGGTACAGACTTTGATATAACCATCTTGTTGATGGATCCCAGTTTTAAACCCAGAGAGAAATAGAAAGAAAAGTTACTGTAGATTAGCCTCACTTGCTAGCCTCTCTGAACACTGTCGTCTAGCCTATCTATATATCCTAGTCCAGGTATGGGCAATTCCAGTCCTCGGGGGCCTGATTGGTGTCACACTTTTGCCTCAACTAACACACCTGACTCCAATAATCAACTAATCATGATCTTCATTGTAGAATGCAATTCGTTTAATCAGCTGTGTTTGCTAGGGATGGGGGAAAAGTGTGAAACCACTTTGGCCCCCAAGGACTGGAGTTGCTCATCCCTGTCCTATACATTGGAAATGTTACAAAATGCTACTTAATTCACTATCATTTTATGTTAAAACCCTTACAATTGTTTGTGGTTTGTGACAGCGTTATTCTGATTCTGGACAGCTATGTACAGGAGGCACAACTGGCACACTGAGTTGTGAGAATTGTGCTGTTTAAAAAAGCAACGCAACTGTGTGTTTATACAAGGCATTGCCTGCCACACGCGAGCACTGATTATGGCTCAGGATAACAAAATCTTAAAGCACAATCTGAGTGAGAGAGACATACATATATTATTGTGAGAAGCCAATGCAGGATAGTGAGGCTAGTTATGCATAAGCAGCAAGCAGATTACTAGGCCTACACTAACTTGAACTGTCTTCCTAAGTTTCTGAGTTGAGAGAACAGCAAACTGTCTAACCTTGACTCTCAAAAAACACCCCTTGTTACTGACCCTGATTCTAACTCTAATCTGTTTAGCTACATCACTATAGCCAGATCTGCCAGCTACATATGGCTACACTTTGAACACCTCAACATCCATAACATCTGAACACGAATTGGTGGTTGAACTTGCACAGCCAAACTAAGCTTTTTCTATAGGCCTACCCTCAAACTGTGTGGCTTCTCACTCTTCTTCATTGACCTGTAACAATTGGCCCTCACGTTAACCTCCCCTCTCAGCTTGTCTCTGTTTGACACTGGTTAGCAATAACAAAACACTGCGAGACTGATAATAGTCATAGCTACATGATTAACAGAACACTGACATAGCTAGCTAGTCATACTAATCACACATTACATGGCTAACTGAACCAGAATCTGGGCTTACAGGAGACTTTCTACTTCAAGCCCAGGAAGCAGCCATTCAACTTGCCATTCACCAGCTTTTCAAGCTTAGAAATGTAAAAATAAGTTCAGTACTTGCCAAAGAGTGTTTGTTTCGCTGAGCAACTATCGTCATTACTACCGTTCTGGCTGTATGTACTTCCAAAAAAGGTATAAATAAAAAGTTAAATGCAACTGAAAAAATTCCTTGTCTGGAAAGAATCTAAGTGTTGTTTTTGAGTAAGTGTGCATGCACCAAATCCACCTCTTCTGCACCTAGACAATACATTTTTTCGGTTGCAAGTAACAATTTATTTAGGCCTTTTTTGGAAGTACATACCGACTGGGGTAGCATTAATTTGATATTTGCTCAACAAAACTCCATTCTTTGGTAAGTACTGAATGTATTTTGTCATTATTAAGCTTGAAAAGCTGGTGAATGACAAGTTGAATGGCTGCTTCCAGGGTTTAATGGAGAAACTTTAGATGGAGGAAAACTTTAAGGGGAGGAAACTCCAACATGGTTGCTGAGGTGAAGGATTAAATTGAAGCTTTAGCGGGAAGGAAACTCCATCTGTAGCTCATTTATTAGCTGAATGGCACGGTTGCTAGGGTGAAAATTGTGGTTGAAGCCTTAGCTGGAGGAATTGTTGTATTTCCATTGTAGTTTTTATTGCACGTGCATTCAGTACAGGGCCGGCGTTGTGGACGTGCCTTAGCTGGCCCACCCTACCGTACCTCCTTGCCTGTCCAAATCAAATATTGACAATTTATTTCAGGGTTTCACAAACCGTTTGTATCCCCCCCCGACAGAAAAATGCATCAATCTCAGAAAAATGCGCCGACAGAAAAATGCATCAATCTCAGATACAGCATCTGACCGACGAAAACAGTGCCCCTCTGTCTCAGTATGTGTAGACCATGTATCTGATGCTGTCTGGACAAAAAGAGTATGACATGGCATACCATTTCTATCCAAACAGCATCAGATACATTGGGGAAAAAAGTATTTAGTCAGCCACCAATTGTGCAAGTTCTCCCACTTAAAAAGATGAGAGAGGCCTGTAATTTTCATCATAGGTACACGTCAACTATGACAGACAAAATTTCATTGTAGGATTTTGAATGAATTTATTTGCAAATTATGGTGGAAAATAAGTATTTGGTCAATAACAAAAGTTTCTCAATACTTTGTTATATACCCTTTGTTGGCAATGACACAGGTCAAATGTTTTCTGTAAGTCTTCACAAGGTTTTCACACACTGTTGCTGGTATTTTGGCCCATTCCTCCATGCAGATCTCCTCTAGAGCAGTGATGTTTTGGGGCTGTCGCTGGGCAACACAGACTTTCAACTCCCTCCAAAGATTTTCTATGGGGTTGAGATCTGGAGACTGGCTAGGCCACACCAGGACCTTGAAATGCTTCTTACGAAGCCACTCCTTCGTTGCCCGGGCGGTGTGTTTGGGATCATTGTCATGCTGAAAGACCCAGCCACGTTTCATCTTCAATGCTCTTGCTGATGGAAGGAGGTTTTCACTCAAAATCTCACGATACATGGCCCCATTCATTCTTTCCTTTACACGGATCAGTCATCCTGGTCCCTTTGCAGAAATACAGCCCCAAAGCATGATGTTTCCACCCCCATGCTTCACAGTAGGTATGGTGTTCTTTGGATGCAACTCAGCATTCTTTGTCCTCCAAACACGACGAGTTGAGTTTTTACCAAAAAGTTCTATTTTGGTTTCATCTGACCATATGACATTCTCCCAATCCTCTTCTGGATCATCCAAATGCACTCTAGCAAACTTCAGATGGGCCTGGACATGTACTGGCTTAAGCAGGGGGACACGTCTGGCACTGCAGGATTTGAGTCCCTGGCGGCGTAGTGTGTTACTGATGGTAGGCTTTGTTACTTTGGTCCCAGCTCTCTGCAGGTCATTCACTAGGTCCCCCCGAGTGGTTCTGGGATTTTTGCTCACCGTTATTGTGATCATTTTGACCCCACGGGGTGAGATCTTGCGTGGAGCCCCAGATCGAGGGAGATTATCAGTGGTCTTGTATGTCTTCCATTTCCTAATAATTGCTCCCACAGTTGATTTCTTCAAACCAAGCTGCTTACCTATTGCAGATTCAGTCTTCCCAGCCTGGTGCAGGTCTACAGTTTTGTTTCTGGTGTCCTTTGACAGCTCTTTGGTCTTGGCCATAGTGGAGTTTGGAGTGTGACTGTGTGAGGTTGTGGACAGGTGTCTTTTATACTGATAACAAGTTCAAACAGGTGCCATTTATACAGGTAACGAGTGGAGGACAGAGGAGCCTCTTAAAGAAGAAGTTACAGGTCTGTGAGAGCCAGAAATCTTGCTTGTTTGTAGGTGACCAAATACTTATTTTCCACCATAATTTGCAAATAAATTCATAAAAAATCCTACGATGTGATTTTCTGGATTTTTTTAAATCAATTTGTCTGACGTGTACCTATGATGAAAATTACAGGCCTCTCTCATCTTTTTAAGTGGGAGAACTTGCACAATTGGTGGCTGACTAAATACTTTTTTTCCCCACTGTGCATGGGCTGCCAATTCTTGAGCATTCATTGTATGAATTGTTTGCCCTTTGATTGTTTCATTTGATCCATTCCCCATTACATATGTCACCAGTAGGCCTAGTGAATGTACCGTTAATCCCAGTAATTTGGTTACATACATTTCTGTTAATGCATGTATTAATTAGTCATTTACGGTTCTCATTCTCGGAGTGGAAACATTGTTTGCACAGTTCACAACCTGCTACACTTGTGAGAAACAAGTTTTGGTTTATTTCATAACCATCATTCACAAGTTTTGTAAAACAAATTGTTGTCTCTTGTTTTGAGTGCTCCATGTGAGCAATGAGCATGTGTCTGGTTCCTCTGTCCTGATCAAATAAAATAAAATCAAATAAAATAAAATAAAATCAAAAAAAAAAAAAAATGGTCACATGCGCCGAATATAACAGGTGCAGACATTACAGTGAAATGCTTACTTACAGCCCTTAACCAACAGTGCATTTATTTTTTACAAAAAAAGTAAAAATAAAACAACAACAACAAAAAAAGTGTAGAGAGAAAAAAGAGCAGAAGTAAAATAAAGTGACAGTAGGGAGGCTATATATACAGGGGGGTACCATTGCAGAGTCAATGTGCGGGGGCACCGGCCAGTTGAGGTAGTTGAGTTAATATGTACATGTGGGTAGAGTTAAAGTGACTATGCATAAATAATTAACAGAGTAGCAGCAGCGTAAAAAGGATGGGGTGGGGGGGGCAGTGCAAATAGTCCGGGTAGCCATGATTAGCTGTTCAGGAGTCTTATGGCTTGGGGGTAGAAGCTGTTGAGAAGTCTTTTGGACCTAGACTTGGCACTCCGGTACCGCTTGCCGTGCGGTAGCAGAGAGAACAGTCTATGACTAGGGTGGCTGGAGTCTTTGACAATTTTGAGGGCCTTCCTCTGACACCGCCTGGTATAGAGGTCCTGGATGGCAGGAAGCTTGGCCCCAGTGATGTACTGGGCCGTACGCACTACCCTCTGTAGTGCCTTGCGGTCGGAGGCCAAGCAGTTGCCATACCAGGCGGTGATGCAACCAGTCAGGATGCTCTCGATGGTGCAGCTGTAGAATTATTTGAGGATCTGAGGACCCATGCCAAATCTTTTCAGTCTCCTGAGGGGGAATAGGCTTTGTCGTGCCCTCTTCACGACTGCCTTGGTGTGTTTGGACCATGATAGTACGTTGGTGATGTGGACACCAAGGAACTTGAAGCTCTCAACCTGTTCCACTACAACCCCGTCGATGAGAATGGGGGCGTGCTCAGTCCTCTTTTTTTTCCTGTAGTCCACAATCATCTCCTTTGTCTTGGTCACGTTGAGGGAGAGGTTGTTGTCTTGGCACCACACGGCCAGGTCTCTGACCTCCTCCCTATAGGCTGTCTCATCGTTGTCGGTGATCAGGCCTACCACTGTTGTGTCGTCGGCAAACTTAATGATGGTGTTGGAGTCGTGCCTGGCCATGCAGTCATGGGTGAACAGAGAGTACAGGAGGGGACTGAGCACGCACCCCTGAGGGGCCCCTGTGTTGAGGATCAGTGTGGCAGATGTGTTGTTACCTACCCTTACCACCTGGGGGCGGCCCGTCAGGAGGTCCAGGATCCAGTTGCAGAGGGAGGTGTTTAGTCCCAGGATCCTTAGCTTAGTGATGAGCTTAGAGGGCACTATGGTGTTGAATGCTGAGCTGTAGTCAATGAATAGCATTCTCACGTAGGTGTTCCTCTTGTCCAGGTGGGAAAGGGCAGTGTGGAGTGAAATAGAGATTGCATCATCTGTGGATCTGTTGGGGCGGTATGCAAATTGGAGTG